AGATGCCGAAATCGTGTTTCTGGGGAATATATCGTTCTGGTCAGTTATTTTACTTCACTCTTGATGGCATGGAATGGCGGAGTGAGAAGCCAAATGTGTCTAAGCAAAGTTTTAAAAAGATATCTGCTCTGGATTATTGCGCCTGGGGTTTGGGGGCAGATCAAAGGCTCTACGTGTGTTTGTTCAAAACTGACATTCCAGTTCGTGTTCAGGTATCAACATATGAAAATCAGAGGTGGTCTTTGACGAAGCGTTGTTGGTCACAAAAGTCAGTAAGTGTCATTTGCTGGTCAACATGAATGCCACGTTAATAAAATTATCCTTGAATAAAGAATGGGAATTAGGGGAAGACCCAGGGGAAGATCCATGCAAAGCTCACACAGGAATCACGTCAATAAATAATAGAAATACAATTGGAAATAGTTAGTCGACGCAAAATATGATTTATTGGCCATCTGTTCCGAATTCAATAGTAGTTTTTTTATACAGTAAACTCGTGAAAACTCAAACCCCTCGCATACATTTGCAAAGTCAAATTGATATTCAAATAGCCCCAAATAACCTCAAAAAATCAAATAACCCCACCCCCATCCCAGATAACTTAAACACTGTACCCTATCTCAAACCATTTCTATGTCCCTTGGATGTTTGAGTTATCAGAAGCTTACTGTATTTCACAAATATTATTGGATAGAATTGCTCTACTTACCAGCAAAAACAAAAATGTTTGACCACAAACAAGACTACAATATCATACAGCCATGTGGAGAGTTTGAGTTGCATTGTATATGATAGCCAAAGACAATACAATTGAAGACAAATAGACAATATAAAGAATATGATACTTTCATAAACAATCAAAGATAATGCATTGTGCCTCACCACTGCCATGCCATTGCACCAAAATTTCAATAATACACCCTTTGCTAGGTGATGCTTAACTTATACCAACACCACACCAAAAAACACAACTCATCTCCAAAGATCTCTGGGATTTGCTACATGGACTAAACTCTGGGGGGATTCATTTATTTTGCAGAAATTCTAAATACAGAGTAATTACTTTTTGTTTGAAACATCAACATTTTTATTGCCATAATTGACCTAAATATAAGACTACTTTCCAGGGCCTATTTTAGTGTGCAGTATTACACACTTTGTGCAGTATTAATTTAAAAATGTGCAGTATTGATTTCGAAAATGTGCTGTATTGAATTTTGGGATTTGTGAAAATGTCTAATTACCGCTATCCCAGATTCTTGCTTTGTTCACAAAATGTGAATTTTCCCCGTCAGTTCGATATAGAGGTCATGTATTGCAAATCTTGTATGACCACCGGAAAGACTCTCTAATCAAAACTTACAACAAAACGAAATGACTAGAAATTTCCAAAAATTGCAACAACAAAATTTCCTATAAAAAATGTAGTTATAAATGTGCAGTATTAAAAATTTCTTAAAATAGGCCCTGCTACTTTCTCAAGACTACTTTCAACTGGTTAAGATAAAGAACACCTCCTTACCATCAGGGCCATGATATAATAGAGCTGATGGAAGAAAAACCCAATATAAATGAAGTGCCACTTCTAAAAGGGCAGATTCATGAAATATTATCTGCCAGCACTATAAACACTAAATGATATGCACAATCTAGCCATTTGACATCAAACTATGTTCCTCTCTAGTCTACAATGAATTCATTTCAATTATACAGCCCTATTTTGTGCTTTTGGTGTCACAGATATTTTCCCCAGTAGTTGTAGTTGGAGTACACACCCTATCTAAACTGCGAGAAACAGAGTATTGACAGGTCCCCGCACTTTCCCCAAAATATATATTTTGTTAATACAGTCTATGTGTCTATATCCCTATGTAGTCTTTCATTTAGATTCTGTTTTTTGTTCCAATGTTCTCTGCATGAAAATCCTGGAATAGTTATATTGTTTACATTTTCAGTTTAACTAAAATGAATCATCAATGCTATATAAAACCCATTTGTTGTCAAGGTAATTTTTGAATTGCGTATTGTTGCTGGGGGTAGTCTTTGCATAACTATTCTGAACCATCATTGTAACAGTCCTTTAATTCGAATCCTTTGAACAAAATTTCCAGCATTACACTAGCCCAAACGACCTATTATTTTTGGCCAACCAGAAAAAGCTATGTATGATAAGATGAAACAAATTGTCAATCTTCTTATTGTGTAAGAAGGAAGAACCACAGGATAGGCTGTCTGCCGGATTCTGTGAATCTTGCAATGAGTGTTGTTATGAAAGATATACAGGAAGAAAGCATTACGACGAGGAGAACTCAATGTCATGAGATAAAATATTCAAAATAAATTAACTTTAAGGAATATACTTATATTTCGCCCCGGCAAATCTTTTTATTGGTAGGTTTTATCTTTGTGTTGATAGTGTCAAAATTGTTTCTTTTCTGACTGCAGATTTTTTATTACAGCTGATTGTAACAGATCGCCCAGCTTGGAGCTCTGAAGATGGAACTAAGAATACTCCCAAAGAATCTTTTGAAGTAGAAGCCCATTGGCAGTGGGAAAATGATTGGTTTAAAGATCAGTCAAATGAGTTTGATACTGAGGTGATTATGTGTGTTTTTGTATGATTCATATATCAAAGTTGTATTCTTACAGAGGCGGATCCAGAGTGAGTTCCTTGATGCACAGAACTCAGTCAGTTTTCCAACATACAGCTAAAAATAGTGTTGCCTGAAACAATTAATAGTTAAATTAAAAATTTAAACCTAAAAATTCAAAGTTTCTCAGTCTCTTCAAAATCTTAAAATTGCCAGTTTCTTCTCTGTCGTGATTTGGAAACGATTTTCCAGACGCTGTGGAGGACAACAGCAGTCAATTCTAGAACTCGGAAATAAACGTTTTGTGTCTCAGAAGTGAATGAATTGAAACAATAAACTTTTTGTTTGGAACACGGATGGAACTCAGTCAAAACAGCATCTGGAACTGGGAAATGATACCATATTTGTAAGAGAGCTGTACAATGGCCCGTAGTTGATTGGCTACCTATTGTTTCTGTTCTATTGTGGAACTGCAAAACATTGAATTCGAAATGGCGACTGCAGATGTTTTATACTCACGACCATCACAGCATTCTAGCAGATTATTAAGCATTTGAGATAAAACCAGGAGATATCGTTAATTTTCCAGGAGTGTTAACTACCTTTGCTTTAAATTGCAGACTTTGATGGCACGGAAAACCTATTCTCAGATGGAACACCATATTTTGATGAATAGGCTTGTGTCTTCGGAGGCAAAACAACAAATTACGAGCAAAACAAAAGGGAAAAACTTTGCTGTGGCATCCAAAACAAACAAAGGGTATTGAGAAAGGGAGGGAGTTTAAAAATTTTTGACAGAGGCACTGTTTTTTTGTCGGAAAGAAATCTAGAATCTAGATTTATTGAGTAGATAGTACCTACCCCCCCCCACCCCCACACCCTCAATGGTACCAAAATGCATAAATATAAATAATAATGTTGTCTTATGCACAATGATCAATGCATTATCTGAATGACCCTAGCCTTGGCCTGGAACTCAGTCAGTTTTTTGCTGGATCCGCCCCTGTCTTACTGCCTGTTTATGTAGGTTACCAGGCAATAGGAAATTTACTCAAAGCTGTACTTTATGACCCTAAGATAATGAAATAGATAATGTCTACATTACTATAAACTTGATAACAAGCAATTGCTAATAGGGAAGCTCTCATCTAAGTTCTTTACCTCCTCTTAAAATGTTCCTTAACAATATTTATCAGCTCCCTGTTGCTAATGAAAATTTTGCCAAACAATTGGCCAAAGAATGCACCAAGAGATGCACCAGCTCAACTCTTTCCAGCATTGCCCTTCATGGACAGTAAAATAGCTTTGTTTACCAACAAAGTAGTCCATTTTTGATAAAAGTTTGGTGGTAAAACTTCAGGCTTACTGTTTTCATCATTTTTAGCCCACATGACAAATATTCTACTTGGCTTGTTTTTCCTTTAGAAGATAGAAACTTGTCACCTATGCTGTTTTTATTACAAATTTTGTTTTTCCTGCCTCTTAACAGGGCTGGCAATATGCTATTGATTTTCCACGAACCTTTAGTAAAAACAGAGGGAAGTTTTCATTTGTTCGAAGGTGTAAATGGTCAAGGTACAAATGTTTCAAAGACTTTGGAAAGTGGATACGTGTGAGTGTATTGTGATCTTTTCATCTTGCAGCATCTATCTTGCTGGGTACAAAGTATTATGTTTGATATTTGTAGCCTATCACAGGTAAAGAACTTGAAAAAATTGAAAATTATAGAATTCAAAAAATTTGTTTGGCTCAAAAAAGTAACAGTATGTGAAGCTATTACATACATTTCAATACATTATCTTAATATGTCCAGGCTACTTAATTCTTAGATAGAGCAGATATCACAGGGTTATGAAGAATCAATATTTTTCATTGCCAGAAAACCTTTGGTATGATATTGCTATGTCACATTATTTTATTAGTCGCAAAAAATAAATGGGTGGTGAAATAAATGGTTATGGGTTTGTGCTTGTCATTTTTCTGGAATTTTAATGACACAGGTCCATTGGAAAGAAGATAAAAAGGATCCATTTCAAGATGTTGCAATTGGAGGGTCACACCTACCGCGTCAAATGCCTGGTTACCTAGCAGTCTGGGCATTGACGTTTTGTGGAAAGGTATCTTACAAGTTTTTCCAATGAAAAATTATGGGTTTGAAAGCATAATAACTCAAAACTGCTCTAATGGATATGTGATTATTTCTCCCTCCCCGGGCACCACAATTTTTAGTTTACTTGGCATTGTACAAGAATGTAGAACAGGTTAAATTTTGAGGCTGCGATATAACACTAGTAAATACCTTGCTGTAATTTAAGACAGTAACTAAAGCATTTCTTAAGGCCCTTAGCCCAAGCAATCCAAAGTCATGCTATCCACACAGATAAAAGTGTAACTGGTTTGAGTTAACAAGTACATTAACACGCACGGCTTCACTAGGGGGTGGGACTGGGGGGCTGAAGCGAATTTTTTAAATTTTAGTCTGGGAGATTCATTTAAGCCTCCAAGAAGGCTAAATATCCAAATTTTTCTTTAGCGTCGGACCTAACCATGGTGGGTCTTCCTATGTCACTCAACTTGATTCTCAGCCCCCAGGTTCATTTTCACGGCGCAGTCTTTGATTAAGAAACAATAATTGGACGGTGACAACTGTCATATACAAAATGGGCCAAGTAAATGTCTACTTAGATTATTGCCTTTCCCCTCTCCATAACACACACACAAATTATTACAGGCACAACTTTTCAAAAAAACTTTTATTTGACTATAAACGGAGTCTATTCTATTGTACTGCCAAACCTCTAAATTTACAAAATATTCGCTGAAATTTCTTGCATGCAATGTTGTTAAGATCTGATTTTTCTATACACTCAAGGTACTTTACCGTGAAGGTATATCACAGAGCTGTCCAGAGGGAACCGGCTGGGTACGTTTAAACAGTTCTGAAGACTTGAATCTCGTACAGATCTCTGTTGGTCCTTCGGGACTGTTATGGGCTGTCCAGTGGGATGGTACGGCTCTTGCCAGAATTGGAATATCACAACAAAACCCCACGGGTATGTACCTTTTCTTCTTCATGAATACTTATATTTTCCCCAACTACGACCTTTTGATTGTATCAAAGCCAACAATAATTTCATTGCCTTTTTATTGTTGTTTTGACTACCTTACGAAATGTGCCTGCTCGCAAAAAGTTAAACTGGGTCCCCTTTGCTTCATTATCTCTTCGCTGTATTAAAAGTTTTCACGTGTTGTTCTAGGGGAAGGTTGGAAGGAGATCAAAGATTCAACTAATGGCTTAACTAACTCGGGGTTTCTGCAAGTTTCGGTCGGAACGAACGCCGTTTGGGCTTTAGGACGAAACCGTAAGGTATGCTAGTTTATTTATTATTGTGTCCGCCAATGAATGTTGCTATTGTGGTATTTCTGCAGCGCAAAAATCTTAAGCAAAATAAGAAAAGCGTAGGGAGCAAACAACCGAGAAAGTTTAAAACTGTCCCGTAGTGGGTTTGTAGGTTAATGGTTACTGGGTTTGAGGTTAATGGGTTTGTAGGTTACCAGAGGTTAGTGAATGCCGAGGGGCTGTGTGACACCTCCCAGTCAAAATTTTCGAGTTAATCGGAAAGTTTGACAGTAACTGGAAAATCTAAATAGTTATTCCAATGCGCTTTTAAATTAGGGAATTATGTTAAATCGTAGAAAGAGATAAATTAATGTTTATGTTTGAGACTGTCTATAATTCAAGACAGCATTAAACGTTCTTTATGCTTGATTAAAAAGCCTAAAGAAAACACAGAGTTAACTATATGATATAATCATTGAAGATATTCTAAGACAGAAAGTATCCTCGGAGCACCCGACTGGGTGTCTAGAGGAAATTATGAGAATAATGATTAAAAACTGTATTATAACTGCCAATTTTGAATCTGCCTAGGCCACAGAAAAGATTTACAAAGTGGTCAGTATTGGCAATTTATCAAGGAAATTTCAGCAGCACGTAACTTCTAAATTGCAAACAATGTTTCAATGAAATTTCGGATTCATTTTACTGGTATTTCGTTTTTATGCAAGAAAATCAAACTAATTTTGAGATGCTGGATGTCATGCACTTTTATTGTTTTATTTTTTCTGATCTCCCAATGCTGTTTCAAGAAAGAATCTACCAAGCTCTTAATGTTCTAATTTCTTGCAGGTGTATTACCGTAAAGGAATTGACACTTCGAAAGCATATACCGATCATAAGTTTGCTTGTGGGAGTGGTTGGGTCGAAATGTTTGGAGAGTTCAGCTTGGTATCTGTCGGACCGAATGACCAGGTGATTAATTTTCTACGGGAATTATCAACATCACCAAATCACCAATCTCCAATCATCAATTTTTAACATCACCAACATCAGTCATCAATGATCTTCACCAATCACCTTTCTTCGTAATCATCATTTTCATAATAACATCATCCCGATCATCGTCATCACTACAATCATAATCACTACAATCATAATCAGCATCGTCAATCGTCAATAATCATAATCAGTCATTATCAATTATCATCGTGATCATAATCTAGATATTTCCGCGTCTACTGGATAGGGCGTTCACAATTATTGAAAATGCTCAACGAAAAGGCCCCTGGACCAGTGATTGGCTAAGCGCTGATCAGATCATCTCTTTTGATCGATCTATCGTTACACACAAAATAGTTAAAGGACAAGTGACACGCTTTTGACGCCAAATTTTTCTTTTCTTTTTACTTAAAGTGAAATGCTGTATGAGAGTGTTGTTGAAATATTTTTCCTTTTTGATTTCATTTTCCTACTTAAAAACCCTTTTCAAATTATGGCCGGAAATGAATCACGTGACACCGTGACGTAGATTGTGATAATTTGTTATTGCTGCTACTGGTATACAGTGCAATATTAACGTTTACAACACGCTTCTTAACGCATTCAGTTCGTCTGGACCTGTCGCGTCGTGTTTCGTAAACTCTCTATTAATGACAGAAAAATTCCGAGTTATCACAATGTACGTCATAGGGTCACGTGATAAAAAGCAAAATCGCGCCTCCTGCGCCCCCTGATTAGAATTTTTTGTTCTAAACCAGGAAAAACTTACTTCTTAAGGATGATCTATAAGTTAATGAAAAGAAAAGAAAGCGTGAAAAGTGTGTCACTTGTCCTTTAATAAGCAGTGTCCTGAGAGCTTCTGGAACAAATATAATCAAAGGATTGGAACTTCTAGTTATAGCACAAGAAACAGTAGAAATCTCGACATCCCAAAATTTAAGTTTGAGAGTACAAAAGAAAGATTCCACCTCTTCGGGCTTAAAGCTGGAACGAAATACCCTAAGGGAGATCCCCCCGCTCTATCAGTTCAAACGTAAATTAAAAAAACATTTGAAAAGCTCAGTAAACCCGAAATAAAACACGACTCCAAGGAAGATCAGACGTCTGCTTGAATTCAACCATAGTATTATAATAATTCTTAAATTTTTTGTTTGCATTATTAGCTTCATGCTCTATCATTACTTAAACTTGAATTTCTGATGGGATATCGTGTAAAAATATTTCAGAAAAGTTATTGTCATCACTACAATCATGATCAGCTCATCAAGGATCATAATCTATTGCCATCACTACAATCATGATCAGCTCATCAAGGATCATAATCTATTGTCATCACTACGATCATGATCAGCTCATCAAGGATCATAATCTATTGTCATCACTACAATCATGACCAGCTCATCAAGGATCATAATCTATTGTCATCACTACAATCATGATCAGCTCATTAATGATCATAATCTATTGTCATCACTACAATCATGATCAGCTCATCAAGGATCATAATCTATTGTCATCACTACAATCATGATCAGCTCATCAATGATCATAATCTATTGTCATCACTACAATCATGACCAGCTCATCAAGGATCATAATCTATTGTCATCACTACAATCATGATCAGCTCATTAATGATCATAATTTATTGTCATCACTACAATCATGATCAGCTCATCAATGATCATAATCTATTGTCATCACTACAATCATGACCAGCTCATCAAGGATCATAATCTATTGTCATCACTACAATCATGATCAGCTCATCAATAATCATAATCTATTGCAATCACTACAATCATGATCAGCTCATCAAGGATCATAATCTATTGTCATCACTACGATCATGATCAGCTCATCAAGGATCATAATCTATTGTCATCACTACAATCATGACCAGCTCATCAAGGATCATAATCTATTGTCATCACTACAATCATGATCAGCTCATCAAGGATCATAATCTATTGTCATCACTACAATCATGACCAGCTCATCAAGGATCATAATCTATTGTCATCACTACAA